TATAATTAAGATTTGAGTTTGGTTTGAGTTTGAAAATAACAAGTTTGAGTTTGATTTGAGTTTGAAATTAGTAAAAAGTTAAAGTTTGAGTTTGGTTTGATTTGAAGTTTGTCAAACTCAAATCAAATTAAACTCAAACCTCGGAACCCTAGCAGAAATTAAATACAGTTTTGTGCAAAATTTAAAATAAAAAATTTTGCAAAATCTGTATTTTTGTAGATTTTTGCAAATTTGTACTTATTTAATTTTTCTAATATTAGTCTTTGCAAAATTTTGTAACTTGATAAAACTGAAGCTAATAAATTATTGCATGTATATTTTTAATTTACAATATATTACTATAATATAGCAATATAAATCAAACTATTTTAAATAATCAATCTTTAACTAATTTGTATCATAAATATAACAATATATAATATAAAGAAATTTAGAATTATAAAATTTAATAGTGATGCTAGAAAAATTAAAAAATTACAGTGTATTAAAGATTAATATTGATGTTTAAAGTAAGTAAATATATTTAAATATAATACATAATTGCTATATAAAAATACATTATCAATATTTTTAAATATTAACAATAGATTATATACCCATTTTCTCAGATTATCATTTTGAATATTTGTCTTTTGCTGCAAAAACTTTGAATTTTTTAAAAATATTGTTACATGAAACTTATAAAAAAAGAATAAAATAACATAACTACAATTTAGTTTTAATATTGTAAAAATTATAATATAGTAAGAGAAGTGTCATTTATCAGCTGATTTTTTGTAAATAGTAAAATTTCTCTTCTTCTCAATTACATATAAACATATATGCATGTGATCTTTTAGCATAATATTTTGGCACCCACTCCCTGCTAAAAAAATCAGATGATAAATGACACTTCCCTAATGAGATTGTAATAACATTGCAACAATATTGTAAAATATTACAAAATATTTATTATTATACATATTGTAATAATTTTGTAATGATATTGCAACTACATGACTATATGATAATAATATAATTATAAGGAATTTACAAGACAAAAATTTAAAATAGTGTAAAAGTTGTAAAAATGCTATAAATTTTTTTTTTTTTAAATAAAGAGATTATTACAATATTTATAACTATATTATTACAATATTGCAACAATATTTTAAAAAATTCTAAGTTTCTGCAATGTTGTGTGAGCTAATACAAGAAAAATGTGCTAAATGTAAATGAATAAATAACATACTTTTCCGATAGTTCACAAAAACATTCCTTTAAAAGGAAAAATACTTCTCTTGATGTTTAATATTAATTATTCAGAAAGTTCCATAAAATCTTTATTTAAATTCTTTCATAATATGTGTACTCTTAAATAAAAAGTGCATAATAATATATAAATAAGTTCATATTAAAAGCTTACGCAAATTATATGCTATAATTTGGGAATTAAACTCCAGCACCTTCGATCCTATATCTGTTGAAGTTAAAATATCCCAGGTATGTGAACCTTTTTGAAAAAATCTACTAGGCAGAAATGAATAATAGAATTTCGATATTAAATATTGTAAAAAACATGTTCAATAAATTTAGGCACAAGGTCGATGTTCGGATTTTGCCAAAGAAGTTCGGATTTTGTCAGAGGTTCGATTTTATCAAAGAGGTTCGGATTTTGTCAAAGAGGTTCGATTTTGCCAAAGAAGTCATCGATTTCATTTTTCAAAAGTAAATATAACGTATTTATTGCATATTAGTATTCATTGGAGCCGTCCAGTATTGACCTATATTTATATGTAATAATAGAGTAATAAATATTAGCTTCCATGAAATATAATTATCTCGCTAGTTATTGTAAGAGGTTGAAATATATTTCGGTATTTGTAAAGCTAGCTCTTCAACCAGTATATTTTTCTCTTCGTTCTACTATTTTCAAAATTTTACATGCACAGGTCAAAGTATCTATAACGATAGGCTGCGCCATAGAGAAGTATGGAGGTCACGTGAAGTATCCTATATGTGCAACGGAAGGTCTGCGAGTCTACAGGTCATAGGAAGACTTTCGTATGATTGGCTGTTTAAATCAATTTGATTTTACATTATTTATACAGTTTAAAGTATTTTTAAAAAAAAAGAAAACTACGAAGAATAAACAAAAAAGAAGTATATAAAAAGTTTTATTAGGGTTGTAGGACTCCACTATTAAAAAGTATCTCCATCCCTTTTTGTTTTAGAGAAGTTAGCATAATAGTGACTTCTTAAAGATAGATAGAATTAGGTTATCACCATGCCAACTTCTCTAAAACAAAAAGGGATGGAGATACTTTTTAATAGTGGAGTCCTACAACCCTAATAAAACTTTCTATATA